TACTATGTGAATGTGAAGTTAAGGATTTAAAGAAGCTAACGGAAATATATATTCTTTTTGTAGTACATTATGTTTAGTCTGACACCAATGATGCAATAATAATTACCGTCACTACCATTTACTGAGTTCTGACTAGGAGGTGGGCACTGGGGTAGGCATCTTTCATCATGCCATCTGGTCCTCACCACACCCCAAGAAGTGGGTATGAATTGCACACACGTTTTAAAGACAAAGAGCCTGGAGCTTAAGAGAGCTATGGAGCTCAAGAAAGGTGGCAGAATTAGTAGTACAAAGCAAAAGCCCTTTCAGGTCTGACTCCAAAGTTTGATACCCATTACATGTTCATCCATTTATTTTATCTGTTTTATGCTTTTTGGTTTTCAGTTGTTATTCTTTTTGGGGAGAAAGTACACACTTAAAATTGCTTACTGAGGAAAATCATCTTTTGTTTTAAGCCCTAGGCCTTCCAAGACAAAATTCTAAGGGACCATATGATTTATTTAAATATTTATCTATAAAACACACATTTACACACATACACACACACACATACACACACAGAGTGTGTCTCTTCCTGCACATCCTTACAAATCACATCAAACCCTGTGAAAGAAGTCATACATAATAATAAGAATCTGGATTTCATGTCTGTGTTATCTTACTTATCTATCTTGCCTGTGTCTTTCAGATTACTATTACACTTTAGAAGTAAAAGGCTTGATAATAGGACAGAATGTAAATCTGCTATAACATAAGATATATCCTTGTTACTATTATAAAGTTATACTATACTCTTTAGAGCAAACTCTACTTGGTAAATCATCTTTTTCGCTCCTTAAAATGTTATTAATAAAATATAATGTAAAGTTTGGCAAGTCCATTTTCTTAAAAATTCCCAGTTTGCAATTTTATAAAACTAGCACCTAATTTAAAATCAGCCATCAACTATGCGAACCTGGAGAGAATATATGCATTACCTGAAGACAAATCACTATATTCTACAATTCTTTGTAGGACGTTCTGAGCATGTAATTTTAGAGAATCCAGATTATATCTTTCTTCTATCTGTGTCATCGTTTTACACACAACGAATGTGGTTATATTTTCTGCTGAAGTGGTACATTCTACAGATCTTATGACAGAATGTGCTGAAGTGGACACACGTTTCATATTCACAAAAGTAGGGAAACACCACTCTTGTTGTCATTTTTTAATTTCATAAAGAAAGACAATGCCCCAATCCTCACAAAGAAAGAAAGACTGTAAAGAGAGAGGGGGACATCGCCCCCATGCCAGCAGTGGTAGTGAAGGAGCTGGTCTGGAGCGTAGCTTCAGACAGTGGTGATAGGAGGCAACAGGCAATGCCACGTTTCTTTGGATTCTTCACCAACTCTTGCACTCACCCTCCTTATGTACTATCCCCTCCAACAGTCAGCATCTGCATCTCTTAATTTGCGAGGTGTCCTCAGATAGCTAGATCCCCTTTGAGAATGGATGTAAAGCTGGAATCTCCCGGGTATTTATATCACTCCTGGGGAAGCCTTTCACTAATGATTAATCTGTAGCTACCTCTACTTTCTTCCTTCTATAGAGGAGAGATCTAGGGTGTGATCTTCAAATCTGTGCTTCAAAATTGAACCAAAGTTTTCTCAGCAGAACTTTAATACTATGCCCTTGCTTGGCCAAATTTCCTTTCCACTCCCATTTCTTCATACCCCAGTTTTTCCAGTGAACACTAACTAAGTTACTATCATATAAAATTTCACTTCAGTGTCTGCTTCTAAAGAAGTCAATGTCGTGTTGAGTCCCTACCAAATAGGGGTTGCACTGGCCACTTTGACTAAAGTAGGAGCCTGAAATAAGGGCCTTTTCAGTGCAAGAAGCCTCACTAGCCTAGGGAAACAGAAAAAAGTTCTCTGAATGGAAATAATAAAAAGAAAATGCTACCATGAGAAAGTGAGGCCCATGCTTCCAAAACATGCATATATCAAATCAGAATTTACATGCTTTTTGAGAACAAGAATCCCCAAGATAAGAAATTAACATTAAAAAAACTGATCTGGAGTGGGTGAGATGCAGATGGAAATTCAAAACTACCCTACAAAATCTCTGCCATGAGCAAGACAAGCAACTCCCACAGGAGTGAGGGTAGGAAGAGGATGTGTTGGACAATGACAGAAGATCACAGTCCAAAAAATTACAGACCACACATAAAATGGTTTCACATCAATAGAGTCGCATTTCAATGACTGGATGATTCTATGATCTGAAAAAAGGAATGACACTATATAATCAGTACGTTTAAAATAATTGAAGAAAGTAATAGGGAATGCAAATTATAATGAAAGAAAAATTCATCATAAAAGTAACAGATACTTAGAGAAGACTGTAGTAGAACATATATAAAGATTATGATGGCACATTAAACACATACCCAGAGTTTACTCACTCTGGAAACCCTGACAAGAGAACAGCAGGAGAAACAACAGTGACAGGCCTTTGAAACCTGAAAACCTGACCAGTGACAGTGACTTATGAGACCTGTGAAAGATGAATAAAAATTGGTAGAAAAACTAATAATAAAATCCATCCCACCACAGAATCTTCCAAAGATTCTAGAACTACCAGCACCCAGTAACTCTAGACCTGTAATTTAAAGACAAGTAACTCCATGAAGAAGAGTGAGAAAAGCTGTTTCTGAAGCAGTTAGGTTTCTACCAGATTCCTTCTCCTTTCCCTTTCCCAGTTTGTTCTTCAGAACTATTACCTCTACCCAAGAAGTTTGAAAAACTTTTCTCTGGAAAGGGTAAATTTTCAAAAAGGTTTTAGGGACTGCTAATTGCCAGTCAGAGTTAAAGATCTGTATGGGAAGTAATCCCAAGAAAAGGAAAGTGAAGTGATCATATGAATACTGAGTGCTGAATGATTTGGCTCCCAGACAGAATACATCAGAACTTTATTATCCAGTAGACTAACAGAGTAGACTTCAGAGTATCTAACCCACCCATAGGAAAACCCACAGATACTGATAACCTCATAGAAATAGTCAAATTTGACCAGCCTCACTCATGCACTCAGATATTCCAATCAGTTTTTAAGACCCCAGCCCTTGGCCCAGTCAATAGAGAGCAAAAGATCCACACAAAAACATTACCAAAGAAGAAAACAGGGTGAATAAAACTCTAAATTAATAAATATTCATAAATCCAATAATTACTAATATCCCTAGAAAGAGAAGACTATATTTCAATTCTCAAAAAGAATAGATTCTATAGAAACAAAATAAACATTCAGATAACAGGGAAAAAAATGTGGAAATATGTTATTTTTAAATCATTGTAAAAATGAAACTCTTAATAAAAGAGTTGGCAGATAAAGTTAAGGAAATCCTTCTGGAAGTAGAGCAAAAAAGAGATGGAAAAGAAAATAAAGTTAGAAGACTATTCCAGAAGTCTAATATCAAGAATTAGAAAAATACAGAAAGAGGAAACATAACAATTGAAAGAATTAAAGATGAATTATTGTAAGGAATATAACCCCAAAATGAGAATTGTAAATTTCCAGATTGAAAGGGGCTCCATGAGTGCTCAGCATAATGAAAGAAATTAGATTCTCACCCACATCAACACATCAACGTCACTGCAACAAGTCAGAGCACAGGAAACAAAAAGAAGATGCTGCAAACATCTAAAGAGGAAAAAAATGAGCAACTTATGATATGAATAAAGTAACCACATAATCTATCATCCTAATCAGAACACTTTAAAATTAGATATATTGACTGACAAATTGGTTTATGTCATTGACAGGCCTACGAAATAGTTTGATTCAAAAACTTGTTTTAAAAATAAAATTGCTTCTAAAAATTGTGCATAACTGTTACATTAAAGCAAAAACAACTCTTTATGTAAATTTTCTGAACATAAAAAATAAAACCATACGATGTAATTAAGGTGAATAAAAAACTACAACTCAATTCAGACAGGACTACTAATGACCCAGACTTTTCAAGAATGAAAATTTAGGTTTTATCCCACCAGGTTAATAATCATGTCAGTTTCATTGCTTGGTGAAGGCAAAGGCAATACACAAGGAGTAGTGAAAGAAGATTGTTATAAATACCAACAATGTTCAGAGGATCAGTTATGAAACAATGACTGTAATTGTCATGAGTATTTCTTCCTTATTTTGTTATGGATATGTTTGTGTGTGAGCATACATAGCAAATATCTTTGTTATCTTCCCTTTCTTAGCCCATTACAAAATTACATAAGACGTATTGACTTTCTATTTAAGATAAGTTTAAGTATTTAAGTATTGGTAACTTTATATCACAGTATTTAAATTATGGAATGCCAAGGAAAGAGTAAACACCACCCAAGGACTTCGTATCCTCTTCTAAGGAGAGGGTTGGTGTGTTTTTGCTTATACTCAAGACAGTTGTATCATGTTACATTGAATTATGACTCTTTTATTGTCTTTATTTGGAGATGGAGGATAAAGAGATGCATATGGGAGCCCGACTGATGAGGAGTAGAGCTGTAGAATTGTGATGGTTAATTTTACATGTTAATTTGGCTGGGCCAGAGTGCCCAGAGGTTTGGTCAAATGTTATTCTGGTTATTGGTGAGGGTCTTCTGGATGAAATTAGCATGTAAATCAGTGGATATTGCTCTCCATAATGTGGGTGGGCCTGAACAAATAAGATGAGATTTGGGTCAGGCTTACACAGAACAAGAGACTGACCTTTCCTGCGCAAAAAAATAATTCTACCAGCACAATATCTTTCGACTCAACCTGCAGCTATTTTCTGAGTCTCCAATCTAATGACCTACCCTGCAGACCTTGGACCTGCAAGACTTCATAAGTGTGTAAACTAATTTTTTAAAATCTATCTATCTATCTATCTATCTATCTATCTATCTATCTATCTATCTATTTATCTATCTGTATCTCTATCTTCTATCTCTACACATATCCTATTGGTTATGTTTCTCTAGAGAACCCTGGCTAACGCAAATGGTTAACAAAATGTCAGGACAATGGTTACCAGTGGAGGAAAGTATGATTGAGAGAGAAACACAGGAGGAGTCTAAGGTATTGGTAATATTCTATTTTGCTTCATAAGTAGAGGTAAATGCATTTTATATTACCACTGTGTATGTTTGACATACTTTTCTGTATGAATACTGCATATCACACATGTACACACATGCAAATTTAACTCAGGAAGTATAAAATAGCAGACTATCAGCTGATGAAAACAGCAAACCAAAACATACATGTAAAAAATTATCAAAAATATATCAGAAGATGAAGAAATGAAAGATATGAGAGATTAATAAACAGGAACAAGAGAATGAGAAAATCAAGCTTAAATAAGGTTATGAAAGGGTAACATATAAGTAATGTTCAAGAGGAAATATTTAAGAAGATCATGACTGATAAATGTTCATATAAAATAAGCAGAAGAAGCAGTATTAATAAACACAAATAAACGTATGTGCAGAATAATATTCATTTGGTGCTGCTATAACAGAATACTCAAGACTGGGTAATTTTATAAAAATCAGAACTTTATGTCTTACAGTTCTGGAGCTGAAGAAAGTGATGATTATGGCACTAGCATCTAGAGGGGCCCTTCTTGCTTTTTCCCATGTGGCAGAAGGCAGAAACGCCAAAGAGAATTGTATTAGTCTGTTCTCAAGCTGCTAATAAAGACATACCTAAGATTGGGTAATTTATTAAAAAGAGAGAGAGAGATTTAACTGACGCAGTTTAGCATGGCTGAAGCGGCCTCAAGGAACTTCCAGTCACGGTGGAAGGAGAAGCAAACATGTTTTTCTTCAATGGTGGCGGCAAGAAGTGCTGCGTAGAAGTGTGAAAAACCCCTTATAAAACCGTCAGATCTCATGAGAATTCACCATCATAAGGAACAGCATAGAGGTAACTGCCCCCATGATTCAATTACCTCCCACTAGGTCCCTCCTATGACACGTGTGGATTATGGGAACTACAGTTAAAAATGAAATTTGGGCCAGGACACAGCCAAGCCATATCAAGAATGAACTCACTTCCACAAGCCCTTTTTAGAGCAACATTAACATATTCATGAGGGCAGATCCCCCATGACTTAAACACCTCCCGCACTGCCCTGCCTTTCAACACCACTGCACAGGGATCAAGTTGCCAACACATGAATTTGGGGGACACATTCAGACAATAGCATTCCATCCTAGGCCCCCAAATTTCATTTTGTTCTCACATGCAAAATACATTTTTTCCAACTCAGTAGCCCTAAATCTTAACTTGCTCCAGCACCAACTTTAAAGTTTAAGTCCAGAGTCTCATTTATATCAAGTATGTGTGAGATTCAAGTTGTAATTCATACTGAGGCAAATCGCTCTCTGAGCCTGTAAAATCGAACAACTTATGTACTTTTAAAATACAATGGTATCTCAGGCATATGATAGACATTCTTATTTCAAAAAAGATAAATAGAAAAGAATTACAGGTTTAAAGTAAGTAAAAAACCCAATAGGGCAAATGACATTAAATCTCAAGGCTCGAGAACAGTCTTCTTGGATTCCTCGTTCTGTCTTTCAGCACACTAGAAGGTTGGGGTTGGACTTTCAAGGCTTCAGACAGCCCATGTGTCAGCCCTTAAACATTTAAGTCAAAAGCTTATGGTTTTCTCAGGTTGGTCTGTGCACTGGTAGCTCTGCAGTTCTGGGGTCTTGGGAGGAGCCTTGCTCCCATGGCTGCACTAGGTATTGTCCTAGCGGGGACTTTCTATGGCAGCTCCCCCCACCACAATTTTGCTGGATTTTGCTTTAGTGGAGGCTCTCTGTGATCATGCCACTCCTGCAGCAGGTCTTCTGCCTAAGGTGCAAGACTGCCTGAGACATCCATTGAAATCTAGGTGGAGGTAGCTATGCCTCCACAGCTCTCTCCCTTGGCCAGTGATGAGAGGAGCAGACTCTTGAAGATCTTCAAAATGTCTTTGGGGTTATTCTCCCATTGTCTTGATAAATAGCACCTGACTTCCTTCTATTCACACTAATTTCCTTATCAAACAATTACTTGGCCACACCCTTGTTGTCTTTCCTAAACATGCTTTTTTATTCTTGACATGGCCAGGCTAAGAATTTTCCAAATCTTTACATTCTGCTTCACTTTTTATTATAAATTCTATCTTTAAATACTTTCTCTCTTTTCACATTTTACTATAAGCAGTTAAGAGACACCACATAGCACCCTACATCTTCTGCTACCTGGAGATATCTTCTGCCAGATATCCTGGTTCATTGTTAAAGTCTGTCTTTCACAAAGTCTTAAGACAAAAACAATTCAGCCAAGTTCCTGCTGCTTCATAGAAAGGATCACCTTTCCTCTAATTTGTACTACCTTGTTCCTCCTTCAATCTGAGACCTCGTTGAAATGGCCTATATTGTCCATATTTCTACATTCTGTTCACAATCACTTAAGTAATCTGTAAGAAGATAGAGGTTTTTACCTTACAACTTTTCTTTTAAGAGCTTCTTTTAAGCCTTTACCAGAATTGCCCTTAATGCTCCATTTATGGAAATACAGGCTTTTTCAGCACTCAGTTCAAAATCTTCTCAGCCTCTACTGACTACATAGTTTAACAAAGCTGTTTCCACATTTTTAGATATTGGTTGAATGTAATGAAGCCTCACTATTCTGATTCCAATTTTTGTCTTTGTTTGGTGTTGCTATAACAGAATACTTGAGACTGGGTAATCTATAAAGAACAAAAATTCATGAGGCTGGGAAGTTGAGGATCATGGCACCAGCATCTGGTGAGGGCCTTCCTGTGGTGCCCTCACATGGAAGAAGGTAGAAGGGCAAAGAGAATGAATCCATTCCCACAAGCCCTTTCTATAGCAGTATTAACCCATTCATCAAGGTGAAGCCCTCATCACCTAAACTCCTCCCAAAAGGCCTCATCTCTCAACAATGCTGTGCCAGGGATCAAGTTTCCAATGCATGATCTGGAAGACACAATCAGACCATAGCAAATATCAAATACTGAAAGAAACTGTAGTAAACGAAGACTTAAAGGGTCTTAAAGGAAACGAAAACAATTAGATATACAAGAGATTTTACATCAGGAAGAGACAGATTCTATACCTAGAGAATCCTAAAGAGTGCCCAAAAGCTTCTAGAATTGAGTAAAAACATTAGTATAGTCTCAAGGTACAAAATCTATGTACAAAAATTAGCAGCATTTTTATGCATGAACAACATCTAGGCTAAGAGTGAAATCAAGAATATAATTCAACTTACAATAGCTACAAAGAAAATGAAATACCTAGAAATACAGCTAGATATTTACCAAGGAGGTAAAATATCTCTATATGAAGAACTGCAAAACATTGCTGAAAGAAATCAGAGACCACACAAACAAATGGAAAAACATTCTATGCTCATGGATTAGAAGAATCGGTACTGTAAAAATGGCCATACTGCCCAAAGCAATTTACAGACTCAGTGTTATTCCTATCAAACTACCAATGTCATTCATCACAGAAAAAAAAAATTCTAAAATTCATATGCAACCAAAAAGACCCTGAATAGCCAAAGCATTCCTAAACAAAGAAAACAAAGACATCACACTACCTAACTTCAAACTATGGTTTAAAGCCACAGTAACCAAAACAGCTTGATACTGATACAAAAACAGACATATAGACGAATGGAAAGGAATATAAAACTCAAAAATAAAGTCACACACCTACAACCATCTAATCTTCAACAAGGTCAACAAAATCAAGCAATGGGGAAAGGACTGCTTTTTCAATAAATGTTGCTGAGACAACTGGCTAGCCATATGCCAAAGACTGAAGTTGGACAATTTTCTTTCACTATATACAAAAATTAACTCAATATTACATAGATTTTGTACCTTGAAACTTTAATCAATTTTTAACCAAAATGGATTAAAGCTTTAAATGTATGACCTCAAACTATAAAAATAATAGAAGACAACCTAGGAAATGCTCCTCTCAACATTAGCTTTGGCAAAGAATTTTTGGCTAAGAACCCAAAAACAACTGCAACAAAAACAAAAATAGACAAGTGGGACCTAATTAAACCAAAGAGCTTCTGCACAGCACAATAACCTATTGACAGAGTAAACAGACAACCTGCAGAATGGAAGAAGATGTTCACAAACTATGCATCCAACAAAGGCATCATATCCAGAATCTACAGGGAACTTAAACAAATCAATGAGCTAAAAACAAATGACACCATTGAAAAACATGGGCAAAGAATATGAACAGGTACTTCTCAAAAGAAGTCATACAAGTGACCAATAAACATGAAGAAACGCCCAGCATCAGTAATTATCACAGAAACAAAAATAAAAACCTCAATGAGATAACATCTCGCACCAGTCAGAATGGCTATTATTAAAAAGTCAAAAAACAACTTTTTATGTTGGTAAGGATGTGGAGAATATGTTGGTAAGGATGTGGTGAAAAGGGGAAGGCTTATACACTGCTGGTGGGAATGTAAATTAGTTCAGCCACTGTGGAAAGGAGTCTAGAGATTTCTCAAAGAACTTAAGACAGAGCTACCATTTGACCCAGCAATCCCATTACTGGGTATATACCCAATAGAAAATAAATAATTGTACAAAAAGGGCACATGCACTTGCATGTTCATCGCTGTTCTATTCACTATAGCACAGACATGGAATTAACCCTCATACCCATCAGTGGTAGACCGGATAAAGAAAATGTGGTACATATATAACATAGAATACTACAAAGCCATAAAAAGAATAATATCATGTTATCTGTGGCAATAGGGATGGAGTTGGAAGCTGTAATCCTAAGTTAACACATGAAAGAAAACCAAATGCCACATATTCTCACTTCTAAGTTGGAGCTAAGCATTGAGCACACATGGACATAAATATTAGAACAATAGACACTGCAGTCTACCAGTGGATGAAGGTAGGGTGGGTTAAAAAACTATCTATATGGGACTATGCTTATCACCAGGGTGACAGGACTCATGTTGCGAACATCTGCATGACTCAATATTCCCATGTATCAATAGCAAATCTGTGCATGTACGCCTGTATCTAAAGTAAAGGTTAATTTTTTCAAAAAAAGAGACAAAGGAGATATCTACTAAAATGTGCTAAGAAAAAATAACTGAAAATCTGGAACTCTAGTCCCAGATAAACAATTATTTAAAAGTTGAAAAACAAAACATGTTGATACAGGGAAAGACTGAGCTTATTCTTTCAGACTCTTGCTAAAAGAATCAGTGGAAGACATGCTTCTGTTTTTTTAAAAAAATTAAACCTCTAATAAGGGAGTAAGCTCAAAAAATAGTAGTGGAAAAATAAAATGATACAGAATTACATAAGTCTAAATTAAAGCTTATGGTACAAACCATTGATATGAAAGAAGATTTAAAAAACAAGTTGGAAGTAAAATACTGGAAAAATATTATGTAGATTGTAGGAGAATAAATAGAAATAATTACTCTAACATTTCTGTATCATTTGGAGGAGGGTAAATATACTTATTAACTTGAAACTTTGGTTAAGTGCATATGCTAAAAATTTAAGAGGATCATATGTAGTAGACTGTGCAATTTCCCCAAGTGTAGAGGATGAGATAAGAAAACTTTATCCAATATGAAACAAGAAAAGACAAAGGTATAAAGCAACAAAAAGCGTGATCATAAGAAGAAAAAGTGATGGTAGGAATATATCCAAGCATATCAGTAAACTCATTACATAATCAACACAAACAGTTTTAACTGACAAACCCACAAACCTCGTAATATATTTTAACATTAGAAACTCTGACTCTTAGAAATTGGAGAGAATGGCACTCAAAAAATTAATATAGATGCTACAATTTAGAAATTTTATCTAATGGTTAAATGTGGTTCTTTTGAAAACTTCCATCCAACAATTGGACATTAAACTTTTTTTCCAAGCACACAAATAATACTTATAAAACCTGACCATCCACATAGATTATTTTGGAAAAGTATGGTAAGCACTGCCTCTTACCTTCCCAATGCAATGTCTGTCTCAATTTCTTATTAGATAAGCCAGGGTTTTTTTTGTTCAGGAGATAAAAGGTGTTTCTATGGTCTGTAATAAGAGATGCCTCTCCCCAACTCCAGAGAGTGACTAATGATCAGTTCCAACTAGTTATTTTATATCCACAGAGTGTTGGTGTACAGGTATACGAATGGTTTTCTTTTTCCTTTTTTTCAGACAGAGCAAGTGGCACAATCATAGCTTGCTGCAGCCTTGAAGTCCTGGGCTGAAGTGATCCACCTTCCTCAGCCTCCCCGGTCACTGGGACTACAGGTGCACACCACCATGCCTGGCTGATTATTATTATTATTATTATTTTATTTTTTGTAAAGATGAGGTCCAACTATGTTTCCCAGACTGGTCTCAAACTCCTAGGCTTAAGTGATCCTCTACCATAGCCTCCCAAAGTACTGGGATTATAGCTGTGAGCAACCACACCCATCTGATATTCTTATATTAATCCAACAATTATATAATTTTTAAAAAACTCTACAGTTTTCTATGTGGACAATCATGTGGTATGCAAATTATTTTGTTTCTTTTCAGTTCTTATGTATCTTCTTTGCTTCTGATGCACAGCTAGCCCTATAGTACCTATTACCATGTGAATCTATATAGATATACCTACAGATGAACTCATACACTGATAGCAAACATTATTACTTTATTCCTAATTTTTAAGGGAAGATTTTTAATATTTCACCAAGAAGAATAATGTGTATAATAGGTTTTTAGTGGATTGCCTTTAATAGAATAAGGAAGTTTCTTGCTATTCTTGGTCTGCTATGAGTTTTCTTTATTGTCATGGTTGATTATTGAAGACTAATACTTCTTTTCCTGAAACTATTGAAGCAATAGTAAGATGTTTTTCCTTTAATCTACTATTGTGCTAATTAATGTAAATCATTTTAGGATTTCAACTTAGAAATCTACACAAATAATTTGGAAAAAACGAATAAAGCCAACTTGGTCAAAATGCATTTGTTTATGCATATATCTATTAATTTTATATTTCTATATAATATGCATGTATGTGAACATATATGCATATGTACATAATGCATAGAATAAATACTACTGCATTTAATTTATTACTTTTTACATGATTTTAAAATCTCAATTCACGAGTGAGATGGATTTCTAAATTTTCCTTCCTAATATTTTGTCTGTTTTTTGTATCAAAATCTTATTGAACTCAAAAAAATTAAACTTTCCAACCTTCACTTGCTCTTTAATTTTTGTACATGGTCACTCAGATCTGAGAGACATTTATGAAAATCTCATCAATTTTTCCTTTCAATTTTGCCAACTTTTACTTCATATATTTTAATACTATGCTACTAAATGTCTAGAATTTAGAATTGTTATATTTTTCTGTTGAAATACATATTATGAAGTAAACCCTTTAATCTCTAAACACAGTTTGCCTCAAAGTTTATTTTGTCTGAAAATAGTACTGATTTATAACTGATGCCAGCTTTTTTATTCAATATTTGTCCATTGTATATTTTGCATCCTAAAATCCAGCCTGCCAATCATTGGAAACTGCTGAATTTAGAACATTTGTATTTATTACAATGATTGATGTGACTGACATTATGTCTACCATTTTATTCCGTATTTTAATTCTTTCAGCTTTTTCCTATTTACTCTCTTTCTCTTCAAATATTACAGTTCCTCCAATTCCCTCTTATAGTTTCCTGGTATATGTATGTTCGATCTTTTAGTTTTCTCCATGTTCCTGAACTTCCCTTTCAGAATAGATTGGAGGAGGCAATATGCTGTTAAATTCTTTGTCTTCTAGTGATGTGTTTTTCATAATTTCTTCAGATCCTATCTTCTTGCAAGCTCAGCCATGCATTTACAAGACTGTCTTTTGTATTTTATACAGAATTTCTAGGCGTTTGAAGTGGGGAGGTTTCCAGGAATAGTTTGCCGTGTTCCCGGACTACAAGTTGCATTATTAAGAAATCTACACTCCAGTCTCAGCTTCTTCCCTATTGAGCTACAGAATTATAGTCAAGTCATTTAGCTTCTTTTAGCTTTCTCATCTTCAAGGTTAGCAAGCTGAGGAAGGCAACTTGGTGCAGCTCTGAGCTTTTTAAACATATGTCAGATGACTTATCTTCATTTTTAATGATAGATCACTCTACAGTATCACATTGAATGCCCATTTTGTTTTGTTTTGTTTTGTTTTCCAAGGTTTTATTAAATGCTAAAAATAATCACTCACTCTCTTTTAGGGTCTAGAGGTGACTGCACATTTGGGGAGTCAGGAAACAGTATTTTCCTGAAGCTGTGCCAAGTAATGTGAATTTGACCAAGTTACTTAAAGCCTGTTTACCTTTATTTCCTTTCCCCTGTTGTAGAAGTTATTGCTTTAAAAATGGATATAAATAGCACAGGACTAAATCTTGGCAATCTAATCCACTTATGAAAAGGAAGTGAGGACTTTAAAAGGAAGGAAATTAGGAAGAAAATAGGAGTTCCTATCTTCCAATTAATGCTGGCAGCCCCTTCTTTCAATTTCTCCTGTTGAACTTTAGATAAAAGTAAAGGGGAAAAGAGAAAGCATAAAATTTTAGCTCTATCCATGACCCTGAGTTATTTATAAACAGGATATATCAAGATTCTAATGGTGACAGGAGCACCTTTAGCAATTCTATGGACAGTGCCAGAACACTGTTGACAAGGTGGGCCTCAGTAGTATCAACCTGGAAATTGGTTCATTTCATTTCAATTTAAATGGTTGAGGTAGAAGCAGAATGGCCAGGGAGCATCCCTTTCACTCTAGCTCAGAAGAGCTTTGTCTTAATTAGGGTGGAACCATCCTATTCTAAATGAGGTCCTTAATATCGACCCTCCTACTCTCCTGTTGTTTCCCCCTGCACATATATACAATGATGTGATCTCAGCTGGAGTCTATCTAACTTCAGACTGATCCCATCAGGAGCACTGGAGCCTGAGATGTTCACAGAGTTATTCCACCTTGAGGTGTGGGGACTGGCTTTAACAAACCCTGTGTCTGTCGGTCATTGGCTGCAAACTGCTCCTAGGGGCAGGGGCTATAATCTCCCGTGATGTAGCCGCTGGTTGAGGCACTTCAAAGAAGAGGGTAGCTGCAAGCTTTTGTGCAGTATTCACAGTACGTAGATTGAAGCAGGGAAATGCAATAGCTTGTAGTGAGGACCTAGATGAGGACATACAGAATTCAGTACAGTTTCCAGACTTCATATTCCTGTAGCTAACTCTACACATTAACCCTGCCTGCTTGGTGAATGTGGCCCTGTGAATATTAAAAGGAACAATCAGGCTTTCCAACTCTCCTAATATTTTTTCTTTTGACATTTGCCCTAGAGCTTACTGTTAACTTTTCAATAGTGAATGCCTTCTTCATAATGTGGAAACATACATTTAGTCTGGAGGGATTAGAGAGAGAAAAAAGGAAGATGTTTCTAAAATCTCTTCTCAAAACTGCAGTTCCACCATGCTATTTTGCTGTCTTATTTTAAGGATTGCATTTTGATACTCATAGAAAAAGTTAGAGCTAATTTCAGACTTTTCATGCCTAGCAAAAGGCAGAATAGACTTTATAAGGAATATATATTTGCATCAGGAACACACACACCCAATAAATTCCATTAAGTACAGCAAGTACTTTATTATCTGGGTTTAACCATATTGAACTGCCATATAAATTCAATAGGCAACAAGGTAATGTTTGGCACAAATACTAGAGCCATAAAATACGTCTCACAGTGCTAAGCCTAGATGGAGGACAAATTTTAGCTACCGCATTTGGAAACTAGCCACGGGCTTATAAGTATCAAAGTGGCAGAACCTCAGCTCCTAGTGAAAAATAATAATTCTTATCAGTGTAGATGAGAGAGATTCAGATTTAAAAACACTTTTAAGCACAGTTTGGGGAAAATTGCTTGTGCTGTTTGCTTGTGCTGCTGGGTGCATTAATTTTCTCTAAGATATTTGAGGAACTGGTCACATTAGTTACCTGTGAGAGGCAAACTTTGAAGCTGAGAAAAGAGAGCGTTACAAAGACTTTCAACTTTTACTTTCCTTTTTTTGCTTTTTGAATTTTATTATTTATTTATTAGTAGAGATGGGGTTTCACCATGTTGCCCATGCTGGTCTTGAACTCATAAGCTCAAAGAGATCCAGCTACCTCAGCCTCTCAAAGTGCTGGGATTACAGGTGTGAGCCACTGCACCGGCCTGCTTTTTGAATTTTAAGGCATGAGAATATGTTATGTATTCAATAGTTATTAAGAATGTTTTGTCCTTTTGAGGTTCTTTTAAATATCTGAATTTTGGTTTTGGGGAGCATGCTTAAAATGTTTTATATTGATACAGATAGACATGAGAATAAACTTTTGTTGAGAAATAAGTATAATGATATCATAATTCATCAGTTGCTTATTACAGGATAGCTACTTTGCTAAGACATTTAGGTGCTTTCTTATTTAATCCTCACCACAAAATATGGAGTATGCGATGATATTTTCCCTGTTGACAGATAAGGGAATTAATGTTTATTATGGATAAGTAGCTTTTCTGAGATTTCACAGCTAATAAGTAAGGGTATAACATATTGCCATCACCCAGACAGTCTAACTAGAGGTCCTTGAAGCTATAACCAAATTTCCAGACATCTCCCAATCTAAGCCCTCCTTTTCTGTAATATTCATTGATAGGTGCAAGTCAATGTTTTGGTAATCATTCATTGCCCTTCAAGTTAGTGTTAGGAAAATTGATGAAGGTGACTGTTGTCCTACTGGGATTGGGTCTAGATCAAACCTGAAGCAAGTAGGCCTCCAAGGGATGCACGCAAGGTTAAATCTTTAGGCCAGAGGATGGACTAATGTTGAGGGACAGACTCTTTCCCGTGTTTTGTGTTTCATGTTTTCCCTAAAATTATTTGATCTACAGACCTCAAAGCCACCTAACCAATGAACATTTAAGTTTCAGCAGGCCATTGGGATATGGTATAAACAATCAACACTTGATCTAGTTCATCTCATTATTCTACATTTTTCATAAACTCATCTGTTTTATGACTTATTTTCATTAATATATAAATATATAACCAGTATTAAGTCATGGTAATTACAAGGGAACAAGAGACTTCCCAGACAGAATTGACCTGCATGGTATTCTGTTCTAATTCTGAAGTCAGGAATTATTCCAGAAGACCCATCCAAGGCTAAAAATATTCTGGTCTTCTGTGTCACCCATCCAGGTGAGAAGAACCTGCTTAGTTCTACCTGTGGATTCAGCCACAGACTCTGGCCACAAGCATAGTGTCCTGGAAGAAAATGTATCAAATGAATTTATCTCATTTCATTCTGAAATACGTTAGACATAGCAATAAGAAGACCTTTGGGGTAATCTAAGCAAGGTATGACAGAACCAGATATAGGACAATGGCAATAGAGAGGGAGAAGGAAGAGGATGAATTGTGGATGTTTGGGAGTGAAATCTGTTGGGCCTGAATACTGATGGGATGAGAAGCCTGAGGGAGGAAAATAGAGGTCAAAACAAAAGACGACCAGATTTCCCAGTAGGATGACAAAGGAGATAATTGGTGCCATCTACAGAGGCACTGAGAAAGAAGCTGAGGCAGATCACCGCTTTA